CAAACCAGTAGACAGGGCAGGTGCCACTCTGAGGAAAGCGGAACCCAGAAGCCAGCAGGGTGAGCAGAGCACAGGTGAAATATGTACCTGTTGGGACCACAAGGAAGACAAACTCGGGGCCCTCCCATCTAAAACCTCAGCATCTTACCAGCATGCCACCTGTGCTTATATGAAGCCATCATGGGCCGAGAGTGCTCTAGATGTTTGGGTTTCATGGAGTCCCTGAGTTTTTATTTCAGAGTTGGAAATGGGCAGCATAGAGTCGACATGGTATGTGATGGGATGATTTCATATCAGTGTGTTAGGGGCTGCATGGAAAAAGAAAACTAAGAGGCCTAGAACCATAGGGTGGAATTCCTGCCATTAATGGGGATAAGGAGGTGCTGAGGTGGGTGTGAGGCTGGTCAAATCCTACAGGAGAGGGCTCTTGGCTCCTCACAGACACTGGGACAGGAGACAATGGAGAGAAGTGCCCCTCAGCAAAGAAGCACCCTGGTCCTGTTTGCAAGTTCTCATTTAATGCTGATGGCTCCCTATGAGAGTGTGTTCCATCCCACCATGTTCCAACAGAGGGGAGCAGCACCTGGGGCCAGCTGCTTCCACCAATGGACTTCTGGATCTTTTTGCAGTTCACTCCCTTCCAAAGGACTCTGGCTCAGGTGGCTTTCCAAACTGTGGGGCCCTGAGGCTGGGGCAGGAGGAACTACTGGCATAAGGGAAGCTCTGGGATCTTGGGGTCCAGGAGAGCCAGGCCTGGAAAGAACAGCCCTTTCAGGTGCAAGGCACAGAGGCATAGCAGGGTCCTAGCTCAGAGGTTGAAACCAACCTCAGCCAGTCTCTATACTGGCTCTAAGACAGGCAGGTTCTCCCAGGTGAGCCACCTGGGTGGGGAGAAGAGGGGACCTGGAAGCCATATACATCTGATCTCCAGCTAAGCTCCCAGACTGCACAGTCAATTAAGGACATTCACTCAAAAGGATACCACCTCCTTAGACTGGATCCCCAAAGATGCAGGCTGCCTAGTACAATGACTCCTGGGGTGGGGGGTAGAAGGCGCATGAGGCGGGTTAGCCCTGTGGGGCCCCGCAGGAGCACCGAAAAGGCCCTGAGCTTTGGGGCAGATACCCACCAGCCTGCTTCTTTGGGTGTTTTAGTGCCACTTGTGGTTCCCCTGCTTGCTGGCCCTGGGCAGGCCACGGACTTCTTACACCTGGAGGCTTCTCGGCCTCTACGCCTAAGAGAATCCTCCCGGTGTAGACGAAATCATGTCCAATTAATTTCTGCGCCCACCAGTCACGCTATGACCCTCCTACTTCCAGGTCACCTTCTTCTGCTATCCAGTATTCCGTTGGCCCACAGGGAGCTCAACTGAAATTGTTCGGAGCTCCAGGGGCTTGTAGGAGATCCTTAAAAAGCCCTTCTGGACAGTGGCGCCTCAGTACACCCCCTAGTGTTGTTCCTGGAAGTCCGGGCTTTAGGCCTGGCGACCTTCGCACTTGCTGCCTCCCCGACTGCCTGCAATGGTTTCCCCTCTCCTCCATCACCCAGACGCATACACACAACACATAAGCACAAGGCTGGTCTGGTTCCGTGCCCCCACCTCCATCCCGCAGCTCCTCTGGGACAGTCCCAGCAAAAATGAATGGTACAGTCAGTGCCTGGGAGGGAGATTTCCCCTCCCTCCCGGCTGCAGACCCGAAAGACCAGCAGCCCGGTGAGGGCGGGTAGGGGCCTGGCCACGGTATTCTTTGTCTGCGAGGTGCCTCGGCAGGGGGTCCGGTGGAGCCGCGCGGAATACACAGCGGCTGACCAGGAGTTTCGGCAGGGAGTGCACATCAAAAGGAACCTCAGAGCAACTACAGAGGTGGGGGTGGGGTCCCCATCCCAAGTCTGAAGTCCCTGACAGTCACACACACCAGTGTTCCCACGTGCCATCCTTTGCTCCAGGTCCTTGACCCAGCTGCCTTCCCTTCCCTCATCCAGGAGACCACACTCTGTCCAGGGCAGAGGCCTCGGGTCTACCCACACTAGCTGGTTTCGGAGTGAGATTAACCCTTTGCAGCTAAGTGCAGCCTACCCCCGCGGTTGGAGTTTCTAGCAGAGAGCGTATTTTTCTCTGAGAGACTCGTGGCACGGGAGCACCCTCACCACCCCGGTAGGGCAGGGTCTATACCTCTGTTTCCACCCGCAGGCAGGAGGAAGAAAATTAAGCTTGTGTTGAAGGAAGGACACCTGGCAAGAGAGACGAAAGGACTCAGGAATCCCCTCCTCTGGGAAACTTTCAAGTGGGGGGAAATCCCCACGCAAATCTCTACTCTCCTCCCCACCCCGGGGTTGCCCTGTGAGGCCACTCCCCACTTCTGATCCCCTCTTTATCCCACTTCCCCAAGTTGGTAGGGCCAACTGGCTCCTGAGTAGCATCTTTCCCTCCACTGACCAGCACTTCCGGCTGCCCAGCTCAAGGCTGCCTGCAAGAGTCACCTGCATATACATAGCTCCAAGAAAAGACCCGGTTTGCCCATGCCAGCCTTGGCCCCTTCCCACCATCTCTCAGTCAACCCACATCCCACCCAAAGCCACTGAGAGCTTTTGCCCACACCATCTAAGGCACCTGTGGAATCTTTAGGCCCTAAATGACCTTAAGAAGTCATCTAGCTCCTGCCTCCTGACCACAGTGGTGGCCTGGTGGCCTGGGCCACAGCCTCTCAGCTCTCAGAGACACCAATGCTGGGCTGTGGTACAGGACTTGAGCTCCCACCATTAACTTTTGCTCAGCAAAGGAAACCAAGCCCCCATGGGAAGGGCAATAGTTTACCAAAAGGCACCTAAGAGTGAACCAAGTGAGTCTGGATGACCCTCTCCCCTGCAGCCTCAACCCAGAGGCTCTGCATTCCCAGGACACTGGCCACCCCTCTCCCATAGCCCTCCCAGGTGAAGCAGAAACAGTCATTTCTGCAGATGCCCAACCCCTGGTGGTGGTGGTAGTGGGGGAATCTCTGGGATGCTGGTGACAGTGGTATCCTCCAACTCTGTGGGACTTAAGCATGTGGGGAGATTTTCTTTGCAGAGCTGTCCCTTGGCCCTCAGGCTCTCCTTCCCTTTTCTTCCATCTGGGAGCTCCAGCTCATCCCCTGCTCCCCCCCATCCCCTCCCCTGTTTCTGTCTCAGTGTCTCCATGCACTCCTCTCTCCCTATCTCCCCTTCCTCCCCTCTTTCACCCCCACCCCCACCCCCTCCCGCCGAACATCGGGCTAGGCCCGCAGTAGAAGCAGGGGAAAGCCCAGGCGGCGCTCCCCACCCCTGCGGG